TAAAAAAAAAAAAAAGGGTCAATTCCGACCTTGCTATGACAATCTGGTGCTTCTGAATCAGCGACTGTAAGTATGTAAGTATGTAACGCGTGGTGCGTGTGTGTGTGTGAGGGGAACAGGGTCACATCACAGGAGAGTGAACTGCCTGTCAGAAATCATAGCACGTCAGCTGTCTTAACCGCGGCTTGTGTACTGCATCATCACTGTGTCTGTCACTCGACTCTGTTGCCCTTTCGGGCTTGAACTGATGGTAAAACTAACGACATTATTAACTCTGTCTTGATATTTACTTTGAAAGCTGAAGCGATTATGGTAAAGGACGTTACATTTCCGACGAGTGCTTTTGGTGTTCAGCCAATCACAATGCACTGGGTCAGCTGGCCAATCAGAGCAGACTGCGCTTGTCAAAGGAGGGGGCTTTGTTGAAAACGACACGTTTGAGAGGTGGCGGGGCATAGAGGACCTACAATAATGTACAGTATTTGAAAAATAATGTGTTTTCTTAACAATAAAGCATGTCAACATATTCTGTTAATAGAAGGTGCAAGGCAGATGTCCAGTGGCAATTGATTCCACGGATGGGTGGGGGGGGTCTTTCTTAAAGGATCCTTTTAAGATCCTTTAAGAAGATCTTAAAAGGTCTGAAGGATGAGAGAGGACAATATTTGACCATTGTTTTACTATAGAAATGTTAAAAGAGCAACAGTGCTTACCAATGCAAACTTGACTTGTTTCCCTCAAAGATTGGTTGTTTTGAATTGAAAAATATGAGCTGTGTGTCTCAATTCAGAGGATGCTTCGAAGGCCACAAAGGTTGGACAGCATTGTTTAAATGTCTAGTCTAAAGAAGAACGTCTCGGTTACTTGTGTAACCCTCGTTCCCTGAAGGAGGGAACGGAGACGTTACATCAGTCGTGACTGACGAATTGGGATCTCGCCCGAGAGCCCAATCACCTTCGAGTGTTAACTAAACAAGCCAATGACAGTTGGCGTGCGTGTTTCGCCACGTGCAAACGCACATCAGTTTTTTGCTGAGGAGCCGAGACTACGCACCCCGGCCATACAGCGGTGGTACAGCAACTGTGGCGACGGAACGTAACGTCTCCGTTCCCTCCTTCAGGGAACGAGGGTTACACAAGTAACCTAGACGTTCCCTTTCAGTCAGTCACGTTCGACGTTACGTCAGTCGTGACTGACTGAGGTCCTGAAGCTCCGCGTACGGTCCACGTAAATGCACAGAGCGCGAACGGGACAGAGCAGAGCGATGGCTGGGTCTGCCTCCTCCCGGGGCAGCGTTTGCAAGTTCACCACCTGATCCCTAAAAGGCGTGGTGGGAACTTTGGGCACATATCCAGGCGGGGGTCTCAGGACAACGTGAGAGTTACCCGTTCCGAATTCTAGGCACGAATCGTCGACCGAAAATGTCTGCAGGTCCCCTACCCTCTTGACCGAGGCCAATGCTGTGAGAAGCACTGTCTTCAACGACAGAAACTTAAGCTCTACTGACTGCAGAGGCTCGAAGGGCTCCTCCTTCAAGGCCGTCAGGACCGAGGGGAGATCCCAAGAGGGTAACAGGTGAGGGCGCGGAGGATTTAACCTCCTTGCCCCTCGCTGGGCAGGGGGCTCGTGAGGAGGCATAGCGTACCTGAACCGGACCCTGCTGCCCATAAGCGAAAGGAGAGGGGGACGGCCGTGTAGAGACTGGGTCTTGTGCACCGCCATCCTCATCCTCTTGGGACCCGGAGGCAAAGGAAACTGGTCTTTTATTGAAGTTTTGGGTACCACTGGCTGGGTAGCCAGTGGCGGAACAGAAACAAACGGGAACAAAAGATTCTCCACCCAGCCCTCCTCCGGGGGAAGGAGTGGTGCGG